ATCCTTGATTTTATTACTATTTGCATAGACAAAATGTGATTTTCAATAAATTTTACATAGTTTTCATTCTTTATACAGAGGATTTGAATGCATTATGATAAGAGCTTTTGGGACCAATTAAATATTTTTGGAAAGCTAAGGGACTGAACTGCTGGAAGGAACGTTGTTTTTAGGGACCTATATGAATGAAACTTAAGCTATGGGATCAAAGTGTTCATTAACAAAGAATGGATGACCAGATTTGCTATTTTACCATTGAAGAAACCGCTAAAGGGCCAGGAGTCCGACACGGGTATGGTGCGACACATAAACCATCGCGTCAACACTATACATTAAGCCTTGAAAAACAGGTTCACGTAAAATAAACAGAAGTGTAGACATCTAGACTCTGGTTTGGTCGCACGTTTAGCATTTGGTATTTCTCTTTTTTCATTTTTTCATTTTTTTTTTCTCTTAGGTTATATTTTGTTTTTTAATGGGATCTACTCTATAAATACTCATTTAAAAATTAGATTTGGAACTTTAGGGAGACCAAGAGAGCCACGACCGATCAGAACTTAATATAAAAAAAAAAAAAAATCAAAACTTGAAATTTTATATCATTAAATTTGTTTTATTTATTTTTAAATTTTATTTTATGATATCGAATACTTTTATATTCATAATAGGATCTTTGATTTTCTTTTCTTTAATTATAAACAAATTTAACCATCTAAGTATATAATGTAGCCTGATTAATTTGTTATAAAATTTTATAATTTTTATATTTTCAAAGATTATTATTTTATGTAGAATATATATTATTATTCTTAATATTTTTTAATGATTGACCACCATTAAAATTAAATTGAAAACCGTAATTGAGAATAAGAGGAGACTTTATACAACAATTTCCGATAATACACCATGAATTGTACAAAAACTAGAGATTAACCGATATTAGCAATAAGTGAACTTGATTTTCTACATAAATTAAGAAATTTCACAAAAAAATAATGTATTTTTATTTATTTAAATCCACATAGAAATATAATTAACTAATAAGTGAAGATGTATTTAGTATAACTTCAAAAAATATATTAGATAAAATAGAAAATCTCATTATCATATAAGTAATAAAAACTTTAGAAGTTTATTAACCAAAATTCTATATTAGTTGACTAGTGAAATCGAATGCATTAAAATTCAAATTTTTTTTGACAGTAGGAAATTCTAAATTAGGTTAGTTAGTATTTGTTTTTTAGGAGAATCGAACTCATGATCAACTGCCCAATGGGTAACGTGGCCACCAATGGGCAACGTGGCCACCAGTGGGCCACATGGGGGATTGCAATTCAGTTCGTAATTGAATTCTTAATGTAACTTAGAGTTAATTTAGTTTTTCTTTAATTATTTTAGTTAATTAGTTCATTCAAATAATTTATTTTAATTATTCAAATAAAATTAAAATTAGTAAATTTTGATACTTAATTAGTTTATAATTTCTCAGAAACAATACTTATTTTTTATTATTATATTACTTGAACTGACTAATACTATTATTAAAGTAAAAATTAGTGCATCAAGTTTTTAGCACTGTTGCCAAGGACTATATTGATTCTAATTAATATTAAAGCAAATTAATTCTAGTTTTGATTTTCTTTTTTCTTTTTTTCCGTTTAGTTGTTTCGTAGATGTGTAAGTTAGTGCATGACTCATTTTGAAAACATAAAACTTGCACCATTTGACTCCAAGATAAACTGAACTTTTCACTTTGAACAAAAAGAAGGAACCTTTAGTTGTCAATCAAACCCGCAAGATGGCAGAAGATGCTGTAGCAAAAACCTTGAGAGAGTATGGTTCACCTTCAATGGATGGTGTGGCCTCATATATAAGGAAACTAGCAATACAAGCTAACAACTTTGAAATCAAGCTAACTTACATTCAAATGGTTCAACAATCAATTCAACTTGGTGGATTGTTGAATGAAGATCCAAATTAACATCTTACTAAATTTTTAGAAATTTGTAATACATTCAAGTATAATGAAATTTCAAAAGATGTAAAAAGATTGAGACTTTTCTCTCTCTTTGAGGGATAGAGCAAAGAATTAGTTTCACTCTTTACCTTTGGACTCAATTCCTACTTGGGATGAGATGACAAGTAAGTTTTTTTATGATAAGTACTTTTCTCTTTTTAAAACTACCAAGATGTGTAATAATATTACTACTTTTATGATGTTTGACATGGAGTCATTATATGACACTTAGGAGAGATACAAAGAGCTACTTAGGAAGTGTGCCCACATCATAGTCTACTTATATGGTTATAAGTACACACTTTTTATAATATGATTTATTTCCAAATACTTGTACCATAATTGATGCAGTTGCAAGTGGAACACTAATGAGTAAAATTCCTAAGAAAGCTTAGAAGCTAAAAGAGGAGATGATTTCAAATAATTTCTAACAAAACTGTCACGCCCCAGAACCCAAATCCGGGGACGTGGCAGATGCCGTGCACTCGTGAGCGGGGCCCACAAATGCACAAGGCTCAAGACTTACTGAGTTCTTACTTAGCAATTCAGATTTAAGCCTTTTAATTTACCA